GGACAAGGGGGAAAAGAAATAATACACAATACACACAGTCCCAAATCAAAGATAAAAATATAATCTATAACCATACTTACACTATTTTCTTTATCTGGTCTTCATATCACCTGACTGATTAACTCTTCATATTACACAGTGTTGATGTTCTTCAACTTCCTTAAAGCATAGTCTTTCTCAGATCAAAATGCACGAACACAAAATATCGGTCAAGAAAAGCAATCTTCGTCCTTGCGAGACTCCCAAAGTCTCTAATTATTCTGAGCCAGTACCAGTCTCTCGCTCGACCGTCGCTAATTAGGTGGAGAGGGGGAGGAGTTAGCCATGATAAAAAACACTCGAAACTGATACTCGGTTTTTCGCAACGGAGATAGACGCCCGAAGCTATGATGTCCCACTGCAATCTCTTTTCTGTCTCACAGCACAAGCGAACTGTTTTGTACATGACGTACTCTGTTAGCCTACTCTTTTTGTCCTTTTCAAAGTGACTGATGTGATAGCGAAACCCATATTTTCTGGTTTGTGTATTTGATCTTGTTGTTTTCGTTCATGTCGAGGTTTTTTTTACTTGGTGGCCTTTGCTTATTTGTAAACCCTTGACATTTGTTTATTTGGCAACCATCATCGTGTTTTTATATATATATAAATACATATATATATATATATATATATATATATATATATATATATATATATATATAACTGCCGCCAAGGGAGGAAATGAGAAGTGTCCGTTTGTACAAGTGATTGTCTTATGCCGAACCAGGTGACCACACACACACACAGACACACACAGACACACACACACACACACACATACACTCACATGTGCATTTTTAAGACAGTTCAATCGATAAAGATGGACGGTCAGAGGTCACCAAAAGAAACAATCAACTGACGACTCTTGTTTGTTACTTTAGATTGATTGACAAAGGCGCTACCTCAGAATTACAAAGTGCTGTCTGCTCAGTACCTAGATTTTGATAAATTTGACGTAAAAATGTTGAGTTACACAAGATGTCAAGCTTTTTCGAATGCAATTCTTTGAATATTGTGAAAACCACTCCGAATAATCTAAAGATGTTGACAGAACAGATAGAACATTTGGTTTCTGACTTCATAGATTTATAGATTTAGCAACTTAGCAGAGCCAAAATGTCAAACAGAACTAGATAATTCTAAGGTAAAGAAGTCTTTTTTTCGGTAACGGTAAATTTCAGTCTTTTTTGGGAGTATGCTGAAAGTGTATGAGCACAACAGGACTGAAGTTCCGAATAGAGGGCTTAAGTTCACTTTTACCACTTTTCGGAGAGCAAATATCTAAGCCAAGAGGATATATGCACGTTACAACTCCTTTCAACAGTCCAAGGTTAGGATCACTTGGTCAGGATTCGAACTGGAGTTGCCGACACCGCAGTCCAGGTCTATACTGACAGAGCTAAGAGATGCTCTTTCAACAAGCTAGATATTTTCTATGAGTGTTCGGTGCTCCTGATTTCTGCAGACCTTAAACACCCAAAATCAAGGCGGATTTCTGTGCACAGTTTCCCGGGCCCGGCAGCACTCCAGACACTAAATTGTTTTACAACGACTCTCAGCACTTCCACGCCGTGGGCAGTGGGCATGCTTTTCAAGTTTTCTTTGAACCGCCAAGAATAGATGAAGCTCAAAGGTAACGGACAACTGTTTGTTTTAGCTGCACCCGCTTTATAAAGAAAACTAATGGGGCTCCTAAACACAGCCAATACAGGGATGTTTTTAGGGGGGAGGCGTGGAAGGGGGGGGGGTAGACAGATGCGGAATTTTGGAGACAGAAACAGGTGGGGGTGGGAGGGGGGGGCAGGAGGAGGAACTAAGAGCTTAGACGGTGTGTGTTACAACGAACTTACGACTCTCTGATTGATTTCGGAAGGTGTAACTTAACAAGGTGTTGCCTTGAACGCCAGATCGACACATACCAATGGTCCCTGTGTAAGAGAGAAGGTAAAAAACCCCAAAACGAAACAACCCCCTCCCACCCAAAATTTTAAAAAATAAAAACCCTGTAGAAATAAAAACCAGGCGCGGTATTATCCATTAAGCTTAGATTATGATATGCGCATAACATTCCTCATCGCATTTAGAGTAACAATGATGTAATAATGCTATCGATACCAGACAGAAATGAAAAAGAGAGGTGAAACACTAGGTGCAACAAATGAAAGAGTGATTAAACTGCACGTAATAAGAACGTGTGCAGATAACAAAAGAAAGTGAATCCGAGCGCTGTCAGGCATCATCTCTTTTATTGAACTGTTACACAAGGGACAGGTTCTTCTCTCACAGAGCTCTAGCATTCATCTTACGAGTCAGCTTTCTAGGCTTTGTTCAAAACGGCCGCTTGTTAGTTTTTTCCCCCTATAAGTACCAGATTGCCGCGGTCATAGGCGCCCGGAATGTATGTGCAAGGCTCGAGTTGGAGGCGAGCATTAATACAAGTGGGACACTCTCAGCATATAACAAATTCGTAATCAAAATAGCAAATATGACTGCAAGCTGGCACAAAATGTCGCGGAAAAATCTTTTAAAATGTTAAACTTAATACAACAGAAAATGAAAATAACAAAAAGTAAGCGTGCTTATTATAATTATGTGCAAAGCCAAAGTCTTCTTTGGTTGGGATTTGTTAGCTGTTTATTCAATATTCGCTTCGTCAGAAATCTCTGTCTTTTTACTCACGCCTTCAGCTCTCTCCTTCCCCACAAATTTAATATATGATCAGTGTGGTTTCTAGCTTCTTACATCACACTGAATATTATCTGAGTTACGGGTTATGTTTTGAGTTATATTCCAAATCACTTGAACAAATAGGCATGCACTTTGATTTGAGGAACAAATTTGGATTTGAAATGTCTTAAGAAAAGTAAACCATACGAGACAAAAGCAGACAGGGTGAGAGTTCTAGAAGTTTCTGACTTTTTGTTTAGTTGTGAACTTAACAAAAACATAGGGTCAATATGAAAAAAGTAACCGCAATGTGCATATCAAGTTTTGTATTTTATTGCATCATTTGTTCTGCTTCGGAGCATGTTACAGAAAGCAGGTTCTTGCATTAAACAAAGATGATTGAAAAATGCAAAAGTACAGAGAAGAGAACAAAGAATAGATGCACACTAGTCGACGAGTCTTGTCAGCACAAAGATACACACCGCTACATTCTAACACTCAGCCTTTCTTTCCAAAACATACACTCCGTACACGTAAATGTTTTTGCTCATGACGTTGTGAAATCGAAGAATGAAATTTATTTATACTAAACGCATCCTCAGACGACTCTTTTAGGACAGACAATTAAACAAGGGACTCACAATACAACAGACTGCAAAATGAACAATACATATAAAGTATTTTAAGAAAAAATATTGTATTTAAAGAGAAACAATGCCCTCCAAATCGTCAGTCTTCATGTCTTTGACGGAGAGTTCGTATTTCTTGACCTCGTTGACGTTGCACTCTGTGAATCTGACAGGGCGTTTGGGGCGGACATCCTTGTCCTGTGGGCCCATTCTGTTGATAGCCATCAGGTATTGCTGCAAAAGAAAAAAAAGCAACAACAAAAGTTTTGTTTCTGTCCTTCTTCGACGATATACCAGACACACGTATGGATCATCATTTCTATAGAGAATCCCTTTGGCCAGTGAGAAAAGGCATGAACTCTCTCTCTCTCTCTCTCTCTCTCTCTCTCTCTCTCTCTCTCTCTCTCCCTCTCTCTCTCTCTCTCTCTCTCTCTCTCTCTCT